GTATCTTTTTTTTTTGAAAAATAATCAAATGTAAAAATGTATCAATATTTTTTTATATTTTTTTAAAAAAATATTAACCAAAATTAATAATTGTTTAGTTTCCTTTTTTAGACAAGTCGGGTCAGGTCAGGTCGGATCAGGTCAAATGTATATTTAATTCAGGACAATTTTATATCTAATCCAACCTGACCTTATCAGATTGGGTCAAGTCAATTACCTGACCCGACCTGACCTGTTCGGAGCTCTAAATACAAATCTTGCATTTTCACATTAGAAAAAGCCATGATTGAGAAAGATAGAAAAATTGATAAGTTATCTACTACTATTTCTCAGACTAAAAAGGATAGAAATTCTTTGAAAAAAAAACCTCGCTTCAACCAAAAAGACTATTAAGACATTAGATTATATTATCTATACTAAAGATCAGACAATTATTGCTTATAATGAAGAAGTACAGAAAATTAATCCTGGTTGTATAGATGATACTATAGAACCAACTAGCTTTTATGAAAAGAATTCCAAAAACTTGTGAAATAGATGGCGTAATGATACTTCAGATGATCCAACTATTCATAAAAAATATACTTTTTGATCATGTGTTTATACAAGTTTTCCAAATACTTTATACCAAAGATAAACGAATAGATATAATAATTTTTTCTAAGTACTGTTAAGAAATTTCTGGAACTATTGAGTACTGCTGGGAAATTTCCTAAATTACTGAATATTGCAGGTAAATTTTTGAAACTTCTTTCTATAGAAATAAAATTTTTTATTACATGGAGTCTTTCTAGTTAAATGCTATTTAAGCTTAGATAGATAAATAAATTCTTTTTTACAATACTAACATATATGTACGACTAGTTTTTTTATGGGTTCTGATTCCTTTTTTTCTACAGTAAAAATATTCCGTTGGGATTTATGAACTGATAGGGAATAGTAATAATCTTTTCATTACATGTGACTTTAAATTTCCCTTTCACTAAGGGCTCCCATCCTGCTCGATATTGCCATTAAGTACCAAGAATTACTAAAGATTTAGCATTTCCATTACGATTCTTTTCTGTAGGCACAACAGAAACTTCATCCTCAATAGTAGCTATATTATCTCTAAAACAATTGTTATGGGAACATTAACTATAATACTGATAAATATTGATAGACTTGCAACTCCATTAAGCACATAAATTTTTTTCTATCAATTTTAATATTTAACAATTCTTCAATAGCTTCTGCAATATTATCTGAAAAGATAGAAAAATTAGAATCTGTATCTATCATTACGTATGGAATTATTAAACCTCCTATTTTGCAATAAATAGTTGCAACATCATCAGCATCCTTTATTCAAAGAAAATTTATCTTCAAAGGCTTAGGCTAATATATTTGATTATTTTTTTCAGCTAAATGATGTTGTGTATATGTATTAATAGCATGGTTTAAAGTATTAGAATCCACTGGTATTATATCATTCATAGGATCATCTGACTTAGTCACTCTAGGACCCTCTAGCTTTTCTTCTATTGGAACTTGAATAAGAGGTTTTTGCTATATATTTGTGACTTAAATTAGCGGATGTAAAATATCTATAATTTTATTTGTAATATGCCCTATACTTTTTCCTTTTTTATGACAGTATCATCTTTCATAGCCGTATTCAGAATCTGATCTTTCAATTTAGAGTATATTGTATTAATATATTGAGAACCTTCCTTAAGAATTTCTTTAGGAATATGTTATACAACTGATGATTAGGATTCTGCAATTTGATTTTATATTTGAATATTTGATTTGAAAATCACATCAAATACAAATTCAAATTTTTATTTGATTTGATTCGATCAAATTCAAATCAAAGAATAATTTATTTGATCAAATCCAAATTAATGTTCGATTCAATTCAATCAAATTCAAATAAAGTATTCAAATATTTGATTTGATTTGAATCAATAGTAAAGCTATCTCTAAAGCTTCAGAAGTAGCTCTTACTAAGAAAACTATAGTAAAAAGTGCACCTGCAGCTTCAAAAATGCCTTTTTTACTAAAAAACCTATAGTAAAAAGTGCATCCGCAGCTTTGAAAATGCTTTTTTACTAAGAAAAATATAGTAAAAAACGCCTTTGTAGCTTCAGAGACGTTATTTTATTAAGAAAACATAGTAAAAACACCTTTGTAGCTTCGGAGATTTATTTTACTAAGAAAATAGTAAAAAATGTCTCTGCGGCTTCGAAGATGTTATTTTACTAAGAAAATATAGTAAAAAATGCCTCTGCAGCTTCGGAAATGTTATTTGACTAAGAAAACATTGTAAAAATGCCTTCATGGCTTCAGAGACGTTATTTTACTAAGAAAACAGTAAAAAAAACGTGTCTGCAACTTCAGAAACGTTTTTTACTAATAAAATTGTTAAGAAGCTGAGATGGCGATTATTACTAAATAGTTTTAGTAAAATTGAAGCTGCAATAGTGGTTATTACTAATTTTCTTAGTAAACTGAAGCTTTGATATCAGTTATCACTAAGTTTTCTTAGTAAACTGAAGCCGCGATGATAGTTATTACTAAATTTTCTTAGTAAACCAAAGCTGCGATGACAGTTATTACTAAATTATCTTATAAAACCGAGACTGCAGAGTTATTTTACTAAGTTTAATAGTAAAAATTCACCTGTTACTAAACTTACTTTGTAAAAAGCTATCTTTGAAATTTTTTAGTGCAATTACTAATAATTTTCTTAATTAAAACTTTAGAATAACTTAATTTTAATATATTATTGTAAAAATTAAAAAAAAAATCATATTTAATTTAATTTGATTTGATTTGACAAATATTTGATTTGATTTGATTTGATTTGATTTGACAAATATTTGATTCAATTTGATTTAATTCGATTAAATTTAAATCGATTCAAATGAATTCTATCAAATATTTGAGTTCAATTTGATTTGATTCGATTCGATTTGAAAAAATCAAATCAAATTCAAATTGCTTAAATATTTGATTTGATTCGATTTTAAGGAACCCTAAATGTTGCATTAAATTGTGTACTCAAATAACTTTTTCGCGTCTGATGAGCTAAGTAACAGGTGAGTTTTTCTTGATATTCTGAAAGTAATGTATTGTAAGGATGGCCTAATATGTGAGAAAGTATTGTAAAAACTTCAAAGAATTGATCACATGCATCATAACGTGAAAAGTGTTATTCTTTGCATTCACCAAATGCATATAACAAATAATGGTTAATACAATCTATATGATTAGTTGTACCATTATTGTGTACTAACAATTTATTTTCATAATTTCTTTTTAGATGATGGTGAAGTAACTCAAGTGTAGTTATCAATTCATTCTAATGGAATAATGGCAGATATTATTTGTAATTAGTATTTTTATAAAATAAAAATAATACAAGTAATTTGATCTTTTATTTACCTTTATTTTCTTATCCATATCATTATTATTTGATAATAACTTAATCAAATCTTCAAATGGTTGATAAGCATTGGTCTTTAAGATAAAGAACAGGTAATTGTGTTTTTTTGTCAATATTATATGAGCTCATATTTACATTTGCTTTGTCAGCAAAAAATAATTCAAATTCCCTTTCCTTAATTTTAGCCATTTGCTTATGAATAATAATAGGTTTATCAATTGCTTTGCATCCTAGACTATTTTTACGATGATATTTATGGGCAGCATAAATTGTTTTTAGTGAAACCTAGGTAAAATTTATCAGATTATATATTTACCACTAATGCATCATATGACATGTTTAATATTATTATACCTGTAAATTTTTCATCAATTCTTCATAAGCAAAATTCTCAGCAATTATTAATTAAACCATTAGGATTAGCATCAAGACTTTCACAAAAGAATATCAAAAGACATTAGCGGTGCTTTTATAATTTTCAAATTCTTTATTTCTTATTATTGAATTTAATTTGGTATTCAACAATTCATTTGAATATAAATTGAAAATAGTTTCATCATCACTTCTGGAATCTTTAGCACAGCTCCAAAATTCAATCTATAGAATATATTTTTATAATTAGATTATAAATAAAAAGCAATCTAATTTTTATAATATTTACATTGGATACATCTTCTTTAAACGGTGTAATATTTTTACATCTAATTGCTCCAAAAATTACCCTCTATGCTCGAAGTTCATGTGCACCAATTTCATGATTATTATTATAAATGTTACAAATAAAACTTTTTAACTCAATAATTGTACTTTTTGATTATACCAACGATTAGAATCACATTTCCAAAGTTCTTCATTTCCAGGTATATGTTTTTTAAATATAATTTGAACATATGTTGCATGGTTTCTTCATTATTCCAATCATCAAGAATACAGGTTTGAGAAAACATTTTTTCATGTAGTTCTTGGGTTTTAGATTGCACAAGCGGGTGGTTTATTCCAAAAAGATTGTTACCATCATAATTTTGCAATAGTTGAGTTTGTTTCCAAACTAAAGAAGCTGATTTATCTTGAAATTGTTTTATTTTATCATCTTGAAAAATACTAATTGAAAATAATCCCTTTACATTGTTTTTGTCTATACTTATATATAAAAGAAGATGCAAACCCATCACCATTATTTTTATTTGAAATAGATGCTATGAAAATTTTATTATTACATGAACAAACTATAAAAGGACGAAAACCTACACTATCAAGTATTTGTTGAACTATATAAGAACCATGAAAAGCTCCCCTATTTTACAAAACCAAAATTTTCATACGAAAAATTAAAAAATTTAAAAGTTCATTTTTAACAAAAAATTAATTAATAAACCTAGTATAAAGAAGGTTTCTTTTGTTTTACCCCACCTTCTTCACTACGCGAGAGAGTTATAACGCGTAAAGGCGCTGCAAAACAACAAAAAATTAGTGATCCCAAGTTCGTTCCATATGTCGCTTCAAAAGCCTCAAAGGAAGCTGTTATTTCTACACCAGCTCCTTCGTCTTCTTCAACCTCAACTTCTGTTCCCACTAACTTAGATTTAGAAATTGTTCAAGAAGTTTTTGGTTCGCTACCAGAAAAAACAATGGATTTTGAATTTTTTGATGTATCTAAAATTGCCACTCCCAATAAAATTTCACCAGTTATTTCACCTTCGAACAACAACAATAAAAATAACAACAAAGTTGATATCCCTGAAAACTCTTCTTCAGCCAAAGATAGGTCAAAACTTTTGGACCCTGATGAATATCTCGAAGATGATGATATGAAAGAAGACCTAAAAGATTTTACAGTTGTTACCAAAGCTACTCCCTTTGCAGTTACTACTCATATTAAGTTTACACCTAAAGAAAAGAACAACAGCAAAATTATTCTCGCTATCAATAATGTTTTTGCTCAAAACGACGATTTTTGAGGAGTTTCCGTTCATCGCGTCAATTTGACACGTTCTGTAATTGTCTAATTTGCGACGTCAGACACGGCTACCGCAGCCTTACACGTGACTATTCCTGATCTTAAGATTGACACTTTCTGTGATTTCTCCCAATACAAGAATGATATGCAATTCAACGAGAGGACTATCCACGTTACTGATATTTCACTACAAATGAAGCCTGCAAATATCAAACAAGTTTTTGCCAAATATGGATCTATTACCGATTTTAAAATGACAGTAAGAGGTATGTAGCAACATGCCTATATTACTTACGAAAACCCCAAATGCATTGAGCTTTTTCATCAAGTATGGAGTCGTTTCGTTCAAAATGATTCCGTTCGTGTCAATCCTTACTCTTTGTCTCCAGAAGACATCGCATCAAATTAACAAATCTTCCTTTTGGTATCCCTGCAAGAGACCTACATGATATTATTCTGACTACTAAAGCTAGAGCTAGTTATATCCTAGATCCAACAATTATAAGCCTCGTCCTTTTGTTATTTTACACTTTGAAAATGAAGAAGCTCTCAACCATGCAA